AAGGCAGGTGAGTCCCACCATAGCTGGCCAGTCCATTCCTGACAGAATATGTCCTGTATGTGGGGCATGTCTAAACAAGGGTTATAAGTAAAGATAAAAATATCATCTGTGAATAGTGCTAGCCGAAGATCTTGATGACCTATTTGTACTCCATGAAGTTTGGGATAATTTAGGAGGTACCTAGACAAGGGCTCTAGTGCCATATTAATTAGCAGAGGTAAAAGGGGGCAGCCGTGCCTGGTACATTTATGGAGTTGTATACTATTCGTAATGAGTCCTGCTGCAACTATATTTTCTGAGGGGGCAGAGTACATAGTAGAGATTAGATGTAAGAAGGGGCCTGTACAACCAAATGTTTTTTCTGCGTCTAAGGATATTATGGCAAGGTTACTAGAGGGATTAGCCCTTGCATGTTCTAGGACCGCGAGCACCTTGCAAATGTTGCTGACTGCCCTTGGGTAAAATCCGCCTGTGCAGGATGGATCAGTGAGGGCATTATGGTCGCCAGTCTATTGGCTATAATTGTGGATAAAATTTTACAGTCCAGGCTCAAAAGAGAAATTGGGCGGCAAGAGCCTGGTTCCATGGGATCTTTGCCTTTTTTTAGAGACTACATTAATACAAGCCTGAAAATCAGAAGCTGGATGTCCCCCCCCCCCCCCCCTGTATTTGCCATGGTGCTGCAGATGTGTTATAATATCAACCACTTGTTGGCTTGCCAGATCGATTGAGAGCACCTGTAACAGTCATCATTCACGGCATGCCCTGAAACCATCAACTTACTGCTTTCTAACACCATTACGGTTTTAGAAAGCAGTTAAATTGATGGTTTTAGTTCCACTTTAATCAAACATATCAATGTTGGTGCTTTGGTGCTTTCAATCAAATTCTGTCTACTAGCATATGCACAGTGTATGCCACATTCAAGGCATGCCTCTGGTGACAACTCACACAGTTTCCAGTTGGTTATGTCGGCTGGCAACCAAATTTTCAAGCCCTCAGATGGCTGGTGTCTTAGCTGATCACATGTACAACATTATTATTATTATTATACAGAATTTATATAGTGCCATCAGTTTGCTCAGTGCTTTACAATATAACGGGAGACAATACAGCAACAATACAGTTCAATACAAGAGGGATTGAGCGCCCGGCTCCTTGGAGCTTACAATCTAGAAGGGAGGGGCTAGTGGTACAAATGGTAGTAACTGTGGGGGATGCACTGGTTGGAAGAGTAGAAGATTCCAGTATTAGCTGAGGGCAGGATAGGCTTCCCTGAATAAATAGGTTTTCAGAGATCGCCTAAAAGTGAGCAGAGTAGGCAATAGTCTGATACATTGGGGTAGAGAGTTCCAGAGGATGGGGAAGCTCTGGAGAACTCCTGGAGATGAGCATGGGAGGAGGAGACAAGGGAGCTAGAGAGTAGGAGGTCTTGCGAGGAGCGGAGAGTACGGTTTGGGTGATATTTAGAGACAAGATCGGTGATGTAATTTGGGGCAGAGTTATAAATGGCTTTATACGTTATTGTTAGTGTTTTGAATTTTATCCGTTGGGCAATAGGAAGCCAGTGGAGGGATTGGCAGAGAGGGGTGACTGATACAGAATGGTTAGTAAGGTGGATGAGTCTGGCAGCAGCATTCATGATAGACTGAAGAGGGGATAGCCTGCAATGAGGTAGGCCAATGAGGAGGGAGTTACAATAGTCAAGGCGAGATATAACAAGGGAGTGGATAAGTTGCTTAGTGGTTTCCAAGGTTAGGAACTGACGTATCTTGGAGATGTTGCGGAGGTGAAGTCTACAAGATTTGGACAGTGATTGGATTTGGGGCTGAAAGGACATATGGGAGTCCAGGATTACACCTAGCACCCTGGCATGAGGGGAGGGAATGATGATTGTGTTATTGATCTTGATGGAGAAATCAGGGGAGGGGGCACGGGCTGGGGGGAATACTAAAAGCTCAGTTTTGGAAAGATTGAGTTTGAGGAAGTGGAGTGACATGCATGCTGATATGTCACTTAGTAGGTTAGTGATGCGAGAGGAGACTGAAGGGGTGAGGTGAGGGGTAAAAAGATAGATTTGTGTGTCATCAGCATAGAGATTGTACTTAAAACCATGGGAGTTTATCAAGTAACCAAGGGAGGAGGTGTAGATGGAGAAGAGAAGGGGTCCAAGGACAGAACCTTGAGGGACCCCTACAGAAAGAGGGAGTGAAGAGGAGGAGTCAGCGTTATAGGTAACACTGAAGGAGCACTGCTATAGGTAGGAGGAGAACCAGGAGAGAGCAGAGTCTCTGAGGCCAAGAGAGTGGAGTTTTTTGAGGAGGAGGGGATGGTCAACCGTATCAAAAGCAGTTTCAGTGGAGTGAGCGAAAGCCAGACTGTAAAGGGTCAAGAAGGTTGTTGTAGGTGAGGTGGGAGCTCAGGCGATTGTAGACTAAGCGTTCTAGGAGTTTAGAGGTAAATGGCAGCAGGGAGATGGGTCTTAAGTTGTTCAGGTTGGTGGGGTCCAGGGAGGGCTTTTTAAGTATGGGTGTGATGTGCGCAAGTGAGTCTAATGCGGATGAAAGCGAACTGTTATAGACAGCAGTGGCTAGGTGAGGGCAGGACAGGGGAGAGATTCTGTCATAGAGTTGGTCAGTTGCAGAGTGGAAAGGAGCAGGGTTCAAGTTGTGAAGGTTTCTTTGGGTAATTGTTTGCCGCTTGGAGGGATAGGTGTTTGAAGACGAGGAGACTGTGAAGGTGATGAGATTGTGATCAGAGAGAGGAAAGGGGGGTGTTTGTGAGGTTGTAGGGAGTGCAAAGATGGGAGAAAACAAGGTCTGATGTATTTCCATCAGAGTGAGTGGAGGACTGTATACATTGTGCTAATGCAAAAGATGAGGTTAGGTTGAAGAATTGGGATGTAGCCGGGTTGTTGACATTAATAGGGATGTTAAAATCTCCGAGAATGATAGTGGGTAGTTCAGAGAGAGAAAGTAGGGTAGCCAGGTGGAGAAATCATCAAGAAAGCTGGACAGCTGTCCAGGAGGCCGATAGATCACTGCAATCCTCAGAGAAGTGGGAGAAAACAGGCAGATGCAGTGAGTCTCGAAAGAAGAGAAGGATAGAGAGGAAGGTTAGGGAGGACTTAAAAGGTTCTCAGTGGGGATAGAAGCAAACCAACTCCACCACCTTTCTGACCACTGGGTCTGGGTGAGTGGGCCCAGAGGAGGCCTCCATAGGAAATTGCTGCTTGAAGCCAGGTTTCTGTAATTGCTAGTAGGTTAAGGGAGCGGGAGACAAAAAGGTCATAGACAGAGGTGAGCTTATTACAGACAGAGCGGGCATTCCAGAGCGCACATGAAAAAGGGAGGGTGGTTTTTGGGAGCATGGGGACCGATATTAAATTGAGGGGATTGCGGCTATTCCTGGATTGGACCAGCCCCCCCCCCCCCTCGCTTTTTTCAGCATAGGATTTGATTGACAGCAGCAGAAGCCAATGACTGCTGCTGCTGACTCTCTCTTCTGTGTGGACGGAGAGAGGTGCTGCTCTCGGGCACAGCACTGGATCAAGATTGGACTTAGGTAAGTATACAGGGGGGCTGGGGAAGATTCTATGGCACAGAAGGTTTTTTTTACCTTAATGTAGAGAATGCATTAAGGTAAAAAAAAACTTGAGCCTTTACAACCACTTTTCTCTCCTATTGCAAAAGGAGCCAAGGAAACTATTTAACCAGAAAAAAACTCTGCATTTAAAAAGACTTAAACAATAAAAACTAAAGCCAAGAGTGAAGCTGTTACTAGATTCTACCTTTGAAAGTTCCAATTCTTTTTTCAGAGAAGGATCAAAGTCGATTGGTAACTATGTGAAACAAATCAAGTTTTTTTTTCTATTTTCTTTGCTATAATTTTACAAGCGTTTAATACAGGCTTTACTTCAAAACTGTACACGTTTATGGTGGAAAATTGACTACTGGTCTTCCTGTTGGATTTTTTGACATCTGATTATTGCCAGTAGACATAGCCACTAGCAGTAATAATTGTGTTCTGCCAACCAGGATAGCACTCAGAGCCCCCACCCCTAAAACACAATAGCACTGTGGTAAGCAGTCATGGAAGAAAAGAAAATCAAGTTATATATGGGATGATTTAATGGAGTTGATTTAATAAAGATAAATAGCCTGTTTACTTTGCAAGGGAGATTTCTTAGAGCGGTGAGGTTTTTGCAAAGAACGCTCAATCATGTGCAAGGACAATAAAAACACTGCATTCTTGCTTGCACATGATTAGAAAATGGAAGTCAGCAGAGCTTCCCTTCAATTCACTAAGCAAGGGCAAATACCTTTTCAAAGTGCAACTTCTCTTGCAACAGCCTATTCACCTTTAGAAAATCAATACCAGTGAGAGGTCAAAGTTTGGACACTAAGTGAAGTCAGATTGAAGTTAGAACTTTTGCTTTTCTGGATCAGAGGCTAAGATAGTATTGGAGCCATTAAGTATTGCAATCCTTGTGCTTGCAATACTATATTGTAAAAATTTGACATGGTCCAGAGTCTTTTCTCTTACTCCATGAACAGGAGGTAGGTCCTTCTCCAGGTTTCACTGTTACTTTCTGCATGAAGTGGACACTTCCTATTGGCTGATCTATGGTTGGGTTTGAAGAAAGTCTGGAGGTGAAACATTAGCACAAGGGACAATTCGGGACTGGGAGGCACATCTTCAGTGCTGAATTTCCTGTTATGGGGGGGGGGGGAGGGCAGGGTGTTACGTTTTGCCTGGAAATGTGCTTCAAGCTGGCCTGTAAAGATAAGGGATGGCAACTAATATTTTAGTCCAAAACAATTATACTAATTTGGGGCAAAGTGGTGGGAATATCATTGAACTGTAATCATTACAGTTAGATATCAAATGCAATATAAACACACCAAGCAAGTAAAATATGAAAATTAAAGATACAAAAAGTAGCATTCATTTCTAATACTTGAAAGATGTACATATTATTAGCTCCTTCTTGCTTTCAGAAACAACGCTACCTGAGCATTGGGATGACATGCATGGGCTGTTGTACTACAGTCAAAGTGGATAAAAACTCTGAAGAATATAAAAAGGTTAATGACTATTTCAGCAGAACTGTACAAGCACCTATTGTGAAGGTAACAATCAGCATTAGCTGCTCATATTTCTTCAACATAGCAAATTTACTGAATCAATTCTGTTATTTTAGTAAATTACTGGTAAAATTGAATACCAATACAAGGCAAAAATATAGATATACGGGTTGATTTACTAAAGGCAAGTGCAGTTGCTCCAGAGCTTAGTAAATGAAGAGAAGCTTCACTTTGCAAAGAATACCCACTCACATGCAAAGGGGAAAGGAAAACAGTATATTTGCTTGCACATGATTGGATGATGGAAGTCAGCAAAGCTTTGCCTCATTTACTAAGCTCTGGATCAAATGCCCTTGCAAAGTGCACAGTCTGTTTGCTTTTAGTAAATCAACCAGGGACATACCTACTGGGGTCACAATTGCGACCCAGCCCCATGCTGCGGGGGGCCATGTGGCCCCCCCTGTGCACCTGGATAGGAGCAGCAGCGGCAGTGGCTTTATATAGGAGGAACCAATCTCTCCATGTTGCTCCTGCTGCCACTGAATGCCTGCGGGAAGGAGAGGAGGAGAAGCCAGCATTCAGCAGCTGCAGGAAGAACAAGGAGAGATCGGTTCCTCTATATGCAGCTGCCCCTGCCGCTCCTCCTATCCAGCTTTTTTCTGCGCCCCCCCCCCCCCATGCTCTCTGGCCACCCCTATGCTTTCCACCCCTCCATGCCATGCTCTCTGGCCCCCTGAGCTCTTTACTGGCCCCCACTCATTCCCCCACAACTCTATCAGGTTCCCTCCTCCCTCTCTTGCCAGCTGCTGCAGGGGATCTGTCAGGATGGAGAGCAAGGAAGGGGCAGGTAAAAGTGTCATTTACCATCCCCTTCCTTTTCTGAATGGAGAGTCAGTGATTGTCCATTCATAGCTGAAACATAGTAAACTGTATTCACTATGTTTCAGTTTGTAAATAGAGGGGACGCTCTGTACAGAGCTATTCCTATCCATTCATTCAGTGAGGCTGAGGCTGCAGAGATGGGGATTGAGGGCTGTCTCTCAAAGAAGGAACATCAAAGGTCTGTTTAGACCCCTGTTATCTCACCAAAGCCCACCAAGGAATTCCTAAAAAAAATTGTAAAACATAACTTAAAAAAAAAAAAAATGATATTTTTTTAAATGGTAATAAATAACTAATGACTACCAGGGTCACAAAGGTTGCACTTGTGACCCAGCCCCGGCATTCCACCACCTGACTTGGAGGGGAGGGGCCCTGAAGGTTCCAGTTACGCCACTGAAATCAACTGCATTGTTTCCGTTAATCTTTTTCACTAAAATAACTAAATTAAAGCGTATGTATGAAAAAAACTTCTTTGGATATAGTAAGAAAGGTTAAGACTGTTGGAGAGATTGCGCTTCACTTTCTGTCCTTGAAATGCAACTGAAATTGAGAAGAAATCTTGAGGGGGACTTCTCTAAGACAGTTGCAACCAAAGCAGGTGCCCAATTACAATGTTGAGATAGTTAAATTAATGTTTTTGCAACAGAAATTGTTATGACTGACTTCACGTTTCTGATGGAAAAAGTTTTAGCAGGCTTTTCAAAATACTAAGTACTCTTCCTCTTGTATATTTACAAATGAAGGCCAAATGGCTAAAATATCATATAACACGCAGACATACATACAGTGTATGTGACCGTTCATAAAAAAAATAGTAATTTTAGCAGTGGGTGCATTTTCTATACGTAGTAAGCATGTGCAGAAAACATAGAATGAATGCAGAGAAGGAGAAGGGTAGAAACCAGAAAGAAACTGAGAAGAAAGAAAAAGATATTGGAGACTAGAGAGCAGGTGCATGTGGGCAGTGTTGCCAATCTCCCACAGTATTTCCTGACAAAATATGGAAAATTTACTGACGGAGAACATTTTTTACTGAAAAATTACAGAACTATTAAAAACTAAAACAATCAATATTTAAATAGTACAAACACAATATGGAAACATTGACAATACCCATGAAAAGTAATTTGTCTGGTTTACATTTATAAGGTCAACACAGCATGACAAATTATAGCCCCTGATATTTACAGATAGTTGTAAATATCACTTTACAAACATTCATTAAATTTACTGACTGTTGGCAACCCTGCATATGGGCAGGTGCAGCAGCAGTAACTACACAGAATCTAGTTGTAGATAACCAAAAACTTGTAATGGAGGAAAGGCCCAACTTTACAAACAGCCCAGTGACAGAACACAACGCCGGGAAACACTAACTGTGCAACTTGAGAGTACAGCAGGTTCTGATGCACTGACAACATCTATCTCAGAGGGTGGAATGCAACCTGGCTGGTCAAGTCCCAATGGGGAGGCATTCGTTTCAGGAAGGCATACCCCTAACCTGTCGCTACTTGTCCAAAACCTCTCCCTTCCGCTAATAACTTTCCCTGACAGATGGGTCCTTTTTCCCTGCACTATCTACTTCACAAAATGCGTTAAGACCTGGAGGCAGGGACCTAAAAGGCCCTCCACTTCAGCCCTAGAAGGTTTTCCCCCCTTCCTGACCAGGCCATTTTTTCCTATTTGGCACTGCTCTACTCCAACTGGCAATTGTGCAGTCATGCAACGATGTACCAAAAACAAAATTGAAGTCATTTTTTCACACAAATAGAGCTTTCTTTTGGTGGTATTTGATCACCACTGGGTTTTTTATGTTTTGTGATATAAATGAAAAAAAACTGAAAATTTTGAAAAAAAAACCCAATTTTCTACTTTCTATATAAAAAATATCCAATTAACTCAAATTTAGTCATAAATTTAGGCCAAATTGTGTATTCTGCTACATGTCTTTGGTAAAAAAAAAAATTCCAATACGTGTATATTAATTGGTTTGTGTGAAAGTTATAGCATCTACAAACTATAGTACATATACTGGAATTTATGCAGCTTTTACTTTCTGACTGCCTATCACATTTTTTGAGGTGCTAAGATGCCAGGGCAGTACAACCCCCCCCCCCCCCAAATTATCCCTTTTTGGAAACTAGACACGCCAAGGACTTTGCTGAGAAGCATCTTGAATCCATGGAATGGATGAAATGGATTTTATCTTTTGCCACAAATTTTTTTTTACAAATTACAACTTTGTGTTAAAAAAAAAAAAAAAAAAAGTTGTCACTTAAATGATATATTGCTCACACATGCCATGGATATATGTGGAATAACACCCCAAAACACATTCTACTACTTTTCCTGGGCATGGGGATTCCACATATGAGAAACTTTGTCAGCCTAGCCACATACAGGCCCCCAAATTCCATTGACCATCTGCAGGCTTTCAAAAGGCATATTTCCTCCTGTCACTTCCTCACTACCTATCACAGTTTCGGAGGCCCTAAAATGCCAGGATAGTACAAACACCCTCCAAATGACCCCTTTTTGGAAAGTAGACACCCCAAGGAATGTAATAAGAGGCATGGTGAGTATTTTGCAGATATTGTTTGTCACAAGACTTTGAAAAAGAAAAAAAGAAAAGAAAAATACATTTGTGTTTTCTTTCTTCATTTTCCAAAAACTTGTGGCAACAAATTAAATCTTCAAAGTACTCCCCATGCCCCTTAGCAAATACCGTGGAGTGTCTACTTTCCAAAATGGGGTTATTTGTGGTGTTACTTTAACTATCCTGACATTCAGGGCCAACATTAGAAGCTGATGCCACACATAACTTACTCTTCTAACCACTTGAACACCAAGCCTTTCCTGACACTTTGTGGTTACATTAAAAAAAAAAGTTTTTTTGCTAGAAAATTACATGACATGACATGCTTTAAAACTGGCACGCCAATGCAATGGAGACAAACGACATAGATTTTTAATATCCATAGGTGACATTTTAAAAGTCTTTACAGGTTACCACTTTAGATTTACAAAGGAGGTCTAGTGCTAAAATTACTGTCCTCGATCTGGCATTTACGGTGATATCTCACATGTATTGTGCAATCTCTGTTTACATGCCGACATGGGAATGACGCTTGAGTTTGCCTTTGTGCGCGCAAAATATTTATTTTTCTTCTTTTTTTTTCATCAGTTTTATTGTTGTCACAAGGAACATAAATAGCTCCTGTCATAGCAATAGGCAGTGACAGGTACTCTTTTCTGAGAGACCTGGGGTCTATTAGACTCTAGATCCTTTAAAGCAGGGGTGTCAAACTCCATTTTATCACGGGCCGTATCAGCATTATGGTTGCCCTCAAAAGGCCTGTTGTATCTGTAAGACTAGATGTCAAGAGGACCCAACCCCTATTACATCAGATGTCAAGAATCCCGCACCCTCCCTAACACCCATTTTGGGGGCAGAGCTGGAAAGCAGAAAGTGCTGGGATGGGAGCAGGACCAGAGGAGGAGTGGAATCAGTAGCCAGAGTCTGCTGAATGCTGAGACCAGGGGAGGCAGAATGAGGGGAGTTGCAGATGCACTGAGAGTTGCAGGATTTGGCAGAGGAGTTCTATTCTCATCTCTGCTGCTGACTGCTAAGACAAGGTGTGGGCGGAGACAAGGGGGTACCTGCAAGAGAGGTGCAAGGGCCACATAAAATGGCCTTGCATTTGACACCTGTGCCTTAAAGCATCTGATGACACCAAGATCGATGTGATCAGATACTTTCCCAATTTAAAAATGCTGCTGTTTATATCCGGAAAAACCAAAACGACGAAATGCTTATTGCTTCCAGTTTCTTAGACCATAGAGATGATTGGAGGCATTCCAGTCTCTGACCAGCTCTATGGTCAGCTAGGGGAACTGGCGGCTGCATTCTCAAGTTCTCCAGTGGGACGGGAGAGCCCGAGAAAGCTGTGGCGGGGTGGTCCCTTCCCGCTGCTTGTAAAACCGATCCAGCAGCGAATTAGCTGCTAGGATAGTTATTACATGAAAGCTGACTGGCAGCTGAAAAAAAATACTATTACCATAGTAACATTGTACTACTCGGGAAGGGGGGGGGGTGATCAGTGATTATTTTTTTTTACTGGATCGCGATGAGGCTCAGGTAAGTATTGATTGAGGGGGCTGGGGGAGCTGCTGAACACAGAAGGTTTTTTACCTTTATGCATAGCATGCATGAAGGTAAAAAACCTTCAGCCTTTACAACCACTTTAAGTTCATGACAGTTCGAAATACTAGTGATCGGTGATTGGCTACAGCTAATCACATGGTACAGGGTGCTGTGGGCCAATCACAGCTCACCAGGAAGAGAGGCAAAGCTGTTATGAATCAGATTGATTCATAATAGCTTTGCTAGCATAGCAATCATATGATCACCGGGTCCCGATTTCCAGGATACGCATTCTGCTGTGGCTGGTGGACACAGTAGTCACAGGCAGGGGGCGCATTGCCCCCCTGTGTTAGTACAGCCAGAGTGACGTACCAGTTGGCAAGTGGTTAAATTGTAACTAAAGGCAAAACTTTTTTTTCCCATTTTGGATTGGAGTGAGGGAGGGTTATAGCCAAAACTTGAAGTGAGAGGAAATCCCTCCAAAGTGAGAGGCTCCTGCTCTGTCACCAGGGTTACCAGGTGTCAATAAGGTCACCGGAACTAGTGTCCCCAACAATGGAAGATTTCTCCTCAATAAACAGGACAAATTGAGAGGATGAATCTCCCATAAGGGGGGTGCACAGGCAGCCAGGGCTGCTGTTAGAAATAACTGGGCCCCATACAGCCTACCCATCAGGGCTCCCCCCCCCGCCCAAAAATATCAAATTATATTTTTGCTAAAATGCCACAGTTGTGATGCCATGCTTTGCAGCCATAGTAGAAATTATACGCTCACTACCACTGCCTCCTGTCATTTTTTTTTACAACTTTTTGCTGAATGGCATTTTTACATTGTGAGACTGTGCTCTAACCTTGAGCCAAGTGTTTGGCTTGCAGTTAGAAAGCGACCCCATCGAACTCAATGGGTAGTTTGACAGGTGGTACTACCTGTCAAATTCCATAACTACAGCATTTTTAAACACAGACTGCAAAGTAAAGCATCAGAGCTACAGCATGTATACAGCCCTGTCTGACTGTATTCTTAGGATTTGGGTGTGCAGCCAGGGATGGCGGTAAATCCATGGCTCAGCTGCCCATTTGAAAGAATCCTTAGGCCGCATTCACACTTGGCATTTACTGAATGTGCGACAAAGTGCACGGGAAACACGTGTCTTGCAGTGCATTTCAGAAATGCACTGCAAATGCACATAGTGCTTGTGGTGCTATGAATTGTTAATGGCACCTCAAATGTGGTTAGCAGACCCGTGTTTTGTCATGTGGCAAACTTGCAAAGCTGCATACCTGAAAAGGTTCTAGAGCTTCTATATATGTTTGTCATACACAGGGCAGCCTTATCAAGTGACTGGGCTGCCCTATGTGCAAAAAACAAGCAAATAGAAAAAAAAAAAAACGGGAAAACATGTTTCCACTATGCAAAGTGTCAATGGGGCCTTAGGGATGGCATATAGAAATGGCTGGCCAGAGATGTCTGTCAGCTGAAAACAGGTGTATTCACTGGCCCTTAGCTCCAGCACTGCATTGGCAGCTGGTGTCTACCTAGACGTTTTAGGCTGACTTCTGGCACATTCACCCCCTCTCCAAATCCTGAATTTCTGTAGCTTCACTCTTCACCAGCCCCCTCCAGTAGAAGCACTACTCTTTTCAAGCCCTGCAGCCAGCACTGGAGTTAACAGTACACAGAGCACAGTGTGTGGGAGAGGGGCAGAGCAGGGGTCAGGATTCCGGAAGAAGGTGGAGCAGACGGAGAACTTCTTCCTTCCTCGCTCTTTCATGCTGGCAAGAGATAACACTACCAACCACGGGGAAAGGAGGGGAGGAGACGAAGGGGGAGTTTCACACCCGGCAGTGTACAAATTCAATGGCAAAGTCACAGGTTCTGCAGCTGCCCCCACTGCTCCAAAATCATGACCCAAAATCCGGCATGTCCCTAAATAAAAGGGACTGTCCTGGCAAAATTTGGCCAATTGGCAAATATTTGGACCAAATCCCCTGCAGAGCAGATGGAGGGAGAAAGCCAGCAGTGCTGCAGGGGGATCCACAACAGCACTAGGCAGTACAGCTGCCCCCCTTTTCAACTTATGGGCTCCAGGTCCGGTAGAGGAGGGCCGGCTGTACTACCTTGTCAGCAGCCCTGCAGGCAGCAATAAAAATTGTCAGATGTTCTAATTCTTCTGCAATTTAACCAAAAAAAAAAAGTTTTTCCCTTAGTTATACTTTAACCACTTTCCCGCCGCCCTATAGCAGATATACTGCTACAGTGCAGCAGGGGTGTGCAAAATCATGTATATATACATGATTTTGCATTTCCAGGTAGGGGGCGCGTGCAAGCCACCATTCGCGGCTGGTGCTGGACTGTCAGAAGATCAAGCGAAAAAAGATGGGTACTGTCACCAATACCCAGCATGGCCACAGGTTGTGCACTCCCATGCCCATAGGCACATGCAGGGCACGATCGTGCACGTGGGTGCGCAAATGCGTGAATCAGCGGGTGCAAATGTGCGGTGCACGTGCAGGGCACCATAGTTTCTGGTGCCCATTTGCCTTTAAAAAGACTGCAGCTCTGACCACTAGTTGGTGGATGATCGGCAGCCCCCTGTGTTCCTGTACCTTTGCCTTGTGATTATCTGATTTCCCATTGCCGACCCAGATTGCCTCTGACCAGTCTGATCTCTCCTGGCTCTGACCCCTGGCTTGTTTTACTGACTCTTCTGCTGCTGACCACCTGTGTATGACCTCTCCTGAGCTCGCTCCTACATGATCTCTTGTGTTTGACCCTCGGCCTGCTCCTGACCTTGCTTCGGCTTCTGATTGATCTCCTGTGCATGACCTCTGGCCTGACTTTGACTCTAATCCCTGCTGCTGCCAAGTTCTGCCTGCCATGTCTGGGGAACATATACCTGCTGCCAAGTTCTGCCTGCCATGTCTGGGGAACATCAGCTCTGCAGCTCTTCATCCAAGCTCTTCAGGCTTCAGCCAGCTGGCAACCTGTGCTTCTCTGGGCCAAGCATCCCCTGTTCTTACCTTTAGGGGTGTTCTACACTCAGCCGCAAAGGGAGCTCTCTCAGCATTCCGGCCTCTGATCAGGTACATGACAAGGACACATACTATAAAAAATGTCTCCATCAAACACAACCAATGTTGGAGATGTGAGAAGGAGAGCTTTCTACTCCATATATGGTGGACATGCCCAGAGATACAGCCTTTCTGAAGAGCAGTTCAGGAGTGGATGTAGAGTTTTCAGTGCTTCAGTTAGAATTTTTCTTCAGCTAAGTATCTTCATCTCTCCTCTCTGGCTACTCACTTATATCATAAAGTAGTGGTGATACATATGATTAATGCAGCCAGGCTGTGTTTTCCGGGCAATTGGCGCTCTAAACAAACCCCTCCTGTGAAGGAATGGCTTATGATAATTGCATGCATATCAAAGATGGAAGAACTAATCCATATTTCACATGATAGAATCTCTAGATTTACAAAGGTGTGGGCATATTGGAAGCACTTTTAAATTACTCCCGCATACCAGTCCCTTCTAATGACTGGATCACTGTTAAGATTGAGGACCCTTATGATTTGGCACATGATGATAGACTAGCTTCATGATCTGAGCTAGCTCTCTTCCACTGCTTCTCTATTTTCATTGTAGGCATTTGGGCAGTCCAGACGCGAGGCGGGGATGAGTGGTGGGGAGAGATGGGTGGCCTCTTTTGTTGTTATTTTCCACATTGTTTTTGTCCCTCCCCATTCTTTCTTGCTTCTCTTTGAGGTCTTCTCTTTCCCTGGTTCAGTTCTCTTATTGCTTTCTTTCTTCTGTGCCGGGTCTAATGAGAAGATTTGTGCAACATGCATTATTGTACCTGTTCTTCACCCCTGCAACACATCATTTGCTACCAGGGAATTACTCTTCTCTTGTGTGATAGGCAAGGGGGGACCATTTTGATAGCTGTAGCCAGCTTGATTTTTCAAGAAGCAATTTGTGTGAGTTTATTACCTAGCTGGCCCTGAAGACATGTAATCTCATGTCTCCAGTCCCTGGAGCCTGAATCTTTTTTTTCTGTGTCCCCTATTTCTGTGCTAGTTTTTTTTTTTCCTTCCTTTATGTTCACCTATGGTTTTTATTATCTCCAGTGTTATTTACTGCTGACCTGTTTATTGCAGAATGTGTACTAGATATACATTGTGATCACATTATTTCTCAAAGATTTGATGTACTATCCTCCAAAGTATACTTCTTTGCTTGGATTGAAATGTGAAGTCCTAATAAAGTGCTTACGGGGAAAAAAAATATGCCAAAATGTCTACTTTAAGAAAAAAAACTTTTACAATTAAGCAACAAGCATAAGTACCACTAAAGGTTTAAAATAGTTTATAAAGATTGCTTTAAATACATTTTTTGGCAGGTTGAGAGGATCCAGCACAAGTATCAATACACCGCTTACATAATGAGGAAAGAATTCATGATCATGAAGAATGGGCCTGATGGTGTGAATGAACGTGATCTCTTCCATGGCACTGAACCACAAAACTGTCAGTCCATCAACTACAGTGGTTTTAACAGGAGTTTTGGAGGGGAACATGGTAAGATTCTTGTTGTACTTAAGAAGAAACATCTTCAGACTGATAGTACTTCAGACTGAAAAAATAGCCCGGCCGCTGCACACCTCACTCAGCCCAAGTGGTTAGCAGGTAAAAACAGCCTCAGCTAGATTTATTCAAGTCATGCCCCAAACATGTTTCACCCACCCCCGGGGCTTAATCATGGAGGTGGGGGTCTGCTGGTGGTAGGGGAATAAATGCCATTATCAGCTGCCTCAATATTGGTGTGAATAAACCACTCAGAAAATTTAAACAGACAAGTGAATAAAAAATGTACTGTATAACATGAGTCCAAGCCCCTGAAAATCAACCACACTCAGAAACCTCACGTGTGGTATAGCAAAAATGAATATTAATTGACAATTTAGAGGCATGCATACACAAGCACAAAAGGTAAATAGGAACTGAAAACAGAATTAAAAAAAAATGAAAATAAACTATTACATGTCGAATGCAAGAAAAAAAATTTGATATTTCTATATATTTACACACACACACACACACACACACACGCAAAACCATTTTTTTTCAGCTGGAACTGATTGGGGACAAGAGAGATGCAGGTGCCTGGGGTGCAGTGCAGATGCCAACACCCTACTGGATGATCTTCCTGCAAGTGAGAGAGGTGCAGCCACCTACTGTGTGTGTGTGTGTGTAAGTGTGTGAAGGTACTAGAGCTGGCTGGGTGCTTCATCTTTATACAGCAACAAAAGACATGTGGGGGATGGTGGAGCTTTTAATAGGGGGAAAAGATGGGGCAGTGGAAAGGGAGTTGCATGCAGAAGTCATAGCTGAAGAGGGGTGAAAGTGAGATGTGGATGGGGGGATGCAGAAGTAAACAGCTGTAGAAGAAGGGTGAACTCTGCACTCTGTGTGTAGCGCACTCCTGAACTCTGCACTCGGTATGTAATGCACTCCTGGTATTTAATGCCCATTTAAGACCCTCCCACTGTTAGTGAAATTTGACCACCCACTAATTGATGCAGTTTGAAAGGTGTGAGGGGAGGGGGGTTTTGGGGCTGGGGCTGTCCGTTTTTTCTGAGGCAAAAAACCCCCACATATATACATACATATATATACAGTCCATACACACAAACTGCCACAAACAACCCTACAAAAGCCTAATCCTCTAGTTAAAAACATTTACTGTATTCTATATAAAAATAAGCAAAATGAAAAAAAGCTAAAAAAACAATGTCTTACAAGACAGGAGAACAAGCTTTCAATCAACCAGCACTAAATCAGTCAGGAGGTCACAAATGGGCAGAGGAATGGAAGAAAGGAAAACCAGGAGAAGGGGGAAAAGGGAAGAGGAAGTGAGGGGGGGGAGGAAAGGAGTGCAAGAAATCAGCAGAGCTTCACTACATTCCTTATAATGGAATTATAGGGAAAACATTTTTCTTCATTTTGGATAGAGCAAGGGAGGGTTATGACCCTTGTCAGATTTTTCTTTTTTGCCATCTGTGTCCCATTGAGAAGACTTCGCTTCACCTCCTTTCCCATAGCCAAATAGGAAGTGGGAGGAAATCCCTGCAAATTAAGTACATTTCCTGGGAACTCCCAGGTAACCAGAACAAGTGTCCCCATTGGAAGATTTCCCCTCTATTACTTTTCTAGGGACAACCCAAAATTTGGGATTTTCTTTTACTTTCACTTTTGATGATAATGGTAGCAAACAGGGTGAATCTCCTCAATGCTAGGAGGGCAATAAAAACTGACAAGCAATATAATGCTTCTCCAGTCTATCCAAAACCAAAACATTTTTGCCTTTAGTTTTACTTTAACTTCTGGGGAAAATTGCCTTGTAAAGTTAACAGTCTATTTGTCTTTGTAAATCATATTTATGCATATAAACAAAAAGCAAAAGGGAATGATTGGTGCTGCAGACTACCATGTCCCTTTATTTGGGAATGGGCTGAGAACAGAAATTGTGGGTAGTAGGTAAAGCAACAATCATTTGTGAGGCCTGTCCGCTCAGTTTCCTGACCTACTTCTTGCTGCAGCCTCACCTCTTGGAAAACCACAAAGATCGCTGGTAGTAATCCAAAAAAAATAGTTTGTCCAGAGGTGGTTACCACATGCCATCATATGCCACGAAAGGTTGTGCACAACAATGGTACCAACCTGCTGTGTGCATTTCAGCAGGGAAAGTTCACTCGTATGCCTTTCCAGGCACATGTTCTGGTGGTGCAGTGCTTCCTGGATAGGTACCTTAGCTTACAGGATCTTCTGAGGCAAACCAGAAGAGTTTTAACTCTTTCAGGTATCAGCTGTCCATAAATGATCTAAGTAAGGTATGAGGACAGACTTAGGGGAGTTGGTGGTGTTCAACCAAATCAGTTGCTCTTCATACACGTTACACCACTGGGCATGGTGTCACCTGATCAATACCTCTGATGAAGCCACGCCCAGTGGTGTAACGTGTAAGGGGTGGATCAGGTGAAACAGGACGTCTTCTCTGGAGAGTGCAGAATAGGAATAGTGTAAATTTAACACACTGTAAAAATAGAATAAATTCTCTTTTGCAGAAGCAATCTGCCAAATTTTTACCTCACCATTATCAGCTTGTACAAAAAAGTATGAAAGCTTTGGTGCAATTCTTTATTGTTTCTCTGTGGGAAGAAATTGCCTCATATTTTTAGGTGATGCAATCTGCTTGTATGTCCACATATAACAGCCTGTGGTGCGAATCTGTTAACATATACTGTATTGATTGAATTGCTTTTTGCTAGCTGTTACTTCTTACTTGCTTGAGACTGTTACTTGAGACAGAGGTTTTGCTACCACTTAATGTGGCAAATGGGAATTAATGCTGATAAAAGGTATAGTTATGCACTTGAAGGCGAAAACTTGTGTGCATCATACAATCTAAGTTGAGTACAACTTGAGTTCAAGTGAATGACTGAGATGGATCTGGGTGTTCTGGTAGATCATGGACTTAATAACATGTAATGACAAGCTGCAGTTTCTAAAGAAAGCAAAAAAATGTTCTTGTAGTAAAAGTGGTATATACTCCAGACATAATCTTTCCCCAGTGCAAAGCATTGATAAGACCTCTTCTGGAATATGTAGTTCTTTTGTGGTCATGAGTTCATAAAAATGGTACTGGGGACCTGGAGAGCAGAGAAGGGCAACCGAATTGACAGGTGTGGAAGTCCTCAGCTATGAGGAAAGATAAGCTGAACTAAATTTATTGCCCATTGACAAAAAGACATTTAAGTGGGGATATCAACTTGTTACAACGTTGTTCACTTTAAGGTCATAACAAGTACAAATGACGCATTCTTTGCAACCAGACTACCAGAGATGTTTAATCCAGGAAATATCTGGTTGCCTTAGGAGATCAGGAAGGTTTTTTTCCCTTATGGAATAAATTGGACTGCAATTTGCAATTAAATTGCAATAAGGGTTTTTTTTTTTCCCTTCCTCTGGGTCAGAGGTTGTGGGTATAGGGTTCTGCATATGAAGGTTTTCAATGTATTTATTTTTTCATTTGGTTGAACTAAGTGGACTTGTGTCTTTTTTCAACCTGACTAACTGGAACTATGTAAATCTGTCAACACTGTGTGGTCTGTTCAGTTTTAAAAAAGGGAGCTAAAGCCCAGATTCCACCTCTGACTTGGCAAACATCTACTCCCCAGAAGTACTGACCTGACATATCAAAAGACAGATATCATCATGTAATAGCTATGGCAGACCACTTTACCAAGTTTGCAGTCATAGTACTGACCCACGATGAAATCGACAAGATCACAATCCAGGCAGTAAAACTTCAGCCTTCTTTGGCAGCCCACAGAAATTACATTTACACCAGGGATCCGGTTGCGTTCTTCCAAGAACAGTGATACTCTCTAAGCAATAAAACGTTGAGCACTAACCCATACTACCCACAAGGCAATGGGCAGTGTGAGAGGTTTAAGCACACTCTGTTACAACTGCTGAGAAGACTTGGCTTGTGAGAAACAAAGGAAATGGACCCACTACTTTGGCAAAGTGGTCTGGAAGTACAACCATACAGTACAATGCTCAACAGGCCTTTTGCTCTACCATGTTATGTTTGGCTGTACTCTCTAGGGCCCACAGACCTATGGGCCACAGTGCCCACAGAAAAACTTGAACACACTCTGACGTCCAGGATTTGGGAGTGGAAACAACACCTGATGTAAAGTTGTACACAAGCAAGGAAATTTGTAAACACTATGGGAATAAGGTCTCTGGAGTTCTGAGACGACTACACCATAAACTCCCGAAGCCCATCAAGATCTCTGTGGAGGCCCACAGGATGTTTCTGGGAAACCTGTTCAAGTATCTCTGCCACAAGAGGTTCAGTTTGACTGACTCCTGCTCTTCCATAGTTATCTCAAACACTCCCAGGAAAAGCCATGGATCCTGACAATATTACACAGCCCAATGATCACCCAGCTCAGGTCTATGTTCCCACTGTGGAGCCTGCTGAACCCCATCAGCTGACATGCCTGAAAATGAAGACGCGTTGCTTCTTGTCCTGAAAGAATGAAACAGAGATTCAACCCCTGATGTGCTCCCAGAGACCTAAATTTGAGAGGTCCTTGTTTTAAATTGTCTGCTGAGCAAGCAATTTGAATAGGTACTCCAGAAATAGGCATCCACCACTGCTGAGATAGTGAAGTGCTGTTTTATGGGCTCTAAAGGTTTTCAATGCTTAAACTATTTACAGTTTTGGGTATTGTGGTTTTTTACACTAGTTAATACCAGTCATGTCATTTATGGTTAACAGAAAATTTGAATGTGATATCATGTTTGCAGGCACTAAACATGTTTTTGAATTGAAAATATATAGTTTATAAACATTTGCTCAAAATACCTTAGTACGCTTTTTATGAATGGGAGAGCTGGCTGAAAAGGGTGGACATAGTCAGGAACTCTTAATAAGTGGCAGTAAGAGCTCTGTCAGCTCTATTAA